ACAACATCATTAAACTTGTGAAAACTAAAGATAAAAATCTTCAAAGGAGCCAGACAGAAATGACACATTACTTAGAGGCAGTAAACAATTTGAATTATAATTTATTTCTTGCCTGAAATAATCAAGACCAAATGGAAAAATTTAATGTGTAAAATGGAAAAATTTAATATGTAAAAGTCGAAACCATAAAACAGCAGCCCTGCCCTCGTCAGGGGTAGGTTCTGGGTGATATCCAAGCCTCACCTAGTTACCTACCCCTACAAACTCTCACCAAGACACTTTTATGACTCCTAAGTCCTAGCCAAGGATTTTCACAAAGGTATGCAAAAATGTAAAATTGTAACCGTCTCATGTTTTTCAAGATCTGGTATTCAAAATTACCTTCATTCGTCGTTTTAGATCAGCTGTCTCATATTCACAATCTGATCAAATGACTTAAGCAGTGAATATGGAATTGATAGGAGCAACACATTGGGCAGTGAGCCTAGTGCTTCTCAAACTTTAACGTGGAATCACCTGAAGCTCTTCTAATTCAGTTCGTCAGGGGGTGTGGGAGGAGCTGAGGGTCGACACTGCTAACAAGCTGCCAGCTGATGTTTGTGTTGTGGGATCTGGGACCGCACATTGAACAGTAAAGACCCGAGCACAAGGTCACTTCTGTACATTTGTGATCAGTGTATGCAGGTATTAACGCCAGTAAGAGGACAAGATCTTTGGAATTAGGAAAAATCTCGTTTTAAATACATTTTGCCCTTTCCAGATGACGGACCTTAAAAAAGGTATCTACCTCTCTGAGTCTGAGTTTCAACGTACACTCAATGCAGGTATTTTAGTAATTGACTCATGACACTACCTGATTTCAGTGCTTACTATAAAATGACCATAAGAATAAACATATTGATCCATGGAACAGAATAAGTCCAAAAATACCAGCACATATATCTTCCGCTGATATTTTAACTTTTGAAATAAATATTCACAGGAAGTTGCAAAGGCAACACCCAGGTCTCACGGATCCTTAACCCAGTTTCTCCCCCACAGTCACATCTTACATGATTACAGTGCAATATCAAAACCAGGAATTGAACATTGATACAATGTGAGCGCATAGCTCTATGTCATTTTAGCACATATCTAGATTTGCGTAGCCACCACAACACTCAAAATACAGAATTTTTCCATGACCACAAAGATACCTTTGTGCTAGCCCTCACTACCAATCTGTTTCCCGTCTCTGCAATTTTATAATTTCAAGAATGGTATATAAACAGTATTGTATAGTGTGTGACCTTTTGATATTGGCTGTTTTTCACTTAGCATAATGCCCTTGGGATACATCCCAGGCATTGTATCCGTAGTTCATTCTGTTTTGTTGCTGAGTAGTAATCCATGGTATGAATTTACTTCGGTTTGTTCAGCCACTCACCTGTAAGGGACATTCTGGTGTATCTGGTTTTTGGCTATTTACAAATAATGCTGCCATGAACAATTATGTACATAATTTGTGCAGACATAAGTCTCCATTTCTCTGGGATAAAAGCCCGTGGGTGTACACTATGTGTTGTATACATATTATTATTATTACTACTACTATTATTTTTGAGATATGGTCTCACTGGAGGCTGGAGTGCAGTGGCACGATATCGGCCCACTGCAACCTCCACTGCACAGATTCAAGTGATTCTCCTGCTTCAGCCTCCCCAGTAGCTGGAATTGCAGGTGTGTGCCACCATGCCTGGCTACTTTTTGTATTTTTAGTAGAGATGGGGTTTTACCATGTTGGCCACGCTGGTCTGAACTCCTGACCTCAAATGATCCACCCACCTCAGCCTCCCAAAGTGCTGGGATTATAGGCGTGGGCCACCGCGCCCGGCTGCTAAGAGTACATTTACCTGTTTAATAAATTGCCAAAATGTTTTCCATCATAGCTGTAGCATTGTGTACATTCCCACCAGTAAGGTATGAGAGATTCGGTTCCTCCTCTGCAGCATTTGGTATGGTCACTATTTTTTATTTTAGCTGTTCTAATAGGTGTGTAGCGATAGCTTATTGTAGTCTTAATTTGCATTTCCCTAATGGCTAATGACGTTGAACATCTTTTAATGTGTTTATTTGCCATCTGCTTTTTTTTTTTTTTTTTTAAGATGACAGGATCTCTCTGTGTTGCCCAGGCTGCAGTGCAGTAGCACTATCATAGCTCACTGCAGCCTGGAGCTCCTGGACTCAAGTATTCCCCCAGCCTCTGCCATCCAAAGTGCTGGGACTATAGGGACATGCCACTATGCCCAGCCATTGACATTGTTACTATGTTATGTCTTCAAATCTCTGAACATGAAATAGCTCTCTATTTCCATCTGGTTTTCATTTCTTCCACTGGCATTTTATAGTTTTCAGCATACAAGTCCTGTAAATGTTTTGCTAGATTTAAAACTATCTATTTCTCCATTTTAATTTTGAATTATTGTTAATGGTATTGTATTTTTAAATTTGGCTTCCATGTGTCCATTGTTAGTATACAGAAATACATTTGATCACTGCATGTTGATTTTGTAGCCTGTAACTCTGTGGAATTCACTTATTAGGTCTAGGAGTTTTTGTATACTCCAGGAAATGTACTATGTAGATAATATCCACTGCAAATAGGACAGTTTTATTTCTCCCCTTCTAATATGTATGATTTACATGTCCTACCCCTGCCTAACTGGGCTGGCTACATCTTCCAGTTCTGTATGGATTTGCAGTGTTAAGAGTAGAAATCTTTGCCTTGCTCTCAATCTTAGGGATAAAGCATCCAATCTTCAGCATAAAGTATGATATAGCTGTAGGATTTTTGTAGATGCTTTTTAATAAGCTGAGAAAGTTCCTGTCTATTCAGTATGTTTCTGAGGGTTGTGTCAATAATGGGTTCTAAATTTTGTAAAATGCTTTTTCTGCATCAATTGATATAATCATGTGATTCTTCTTTAGCTTATTAATATGGTTATTTTCAAATATTCATGCAGCCTTGCATCACTAAAATAAATTCCTCTTGGTCGTGGTATATAGTTGTTTTATATACTATTGCATTACATTTGCTAACTGTGAAAGGATTTTTGTATGTATATTCATGACAGATACTGGTCTATGGTTTTCTTTTTGCACTGTGTTTGTCTGGTTTTAATAGCAATGTAATACTGGTCTTTTAGTTTGAGTTGATAGATTTCCTGAAAGAGATTGTGTAGAACTGGTATGAAACCATGTGGGCCTACAGATTTCTTTTTGCAGAATTTTAAAATTATGAATTCAATTGCCTTAATAGTGATAAGACTATTCAAATGAGCTATTTCATATTGAGTTGTGGTGCTTTTATACTGTTCATTTTATCTAAATTGTAAAACTTATTTTATACTGTTCATTTTATCTAAATTGTTTCTAGTATTGCCTTATAAATCTTTTAATGTCTTCAGAGTTTGAATTGATACCCCTTGTTTTATTGCTGATATTAGTAATGTGTATCCTCTTTCTTTTTTCCTGTCTTGCTATGTATTTGCTGTTTCTTTTTTCTTCTTTCTTCTTGCAGAAATGTTTGCAAATTTTATTGATCTTTTTCAAAGGACCAGTTTTTTGTTTTACTGATTTTTCTCTCATTTTTCTATTTTCACTTTATTAATTTCTGCTGTTACGCTTATCATTTCCTTACTCCTGCTTACTTTGGGCTTATTTTACTCTTTCTGATTTCTTGAGCTGGAAGTTTATTGATTTGAGATTTTTCCTTTGAAAAGGAATGCATTCCGTTCTATAAATTTCCTTCATAATGCTGCTATAGTTGTGTTGTACAAATTTGATGTTATGTGTTTATTTTTCATTCAGTTTAATTTGTTTTTTAAATTTCTCTGCTGACTGCCTCTTCAACCCACAGACTACTAAGGAGTGTGTCATTTGGTTTCTAGGTATTTTAAGATTTTCTTACTATCTCTATTGTTGAATTCTAGTTTCACTCTATTGTGGCCTGAGAACATACTATATTTGAAATAAATTCTTTTAAATTATCTGAGGCTTTTTCTCTCATATATCCATGAAAATGGATGCTTAAAAAGAGTGATTCTGCTGTTGTTGAGTGGAATGTTCTATAAATGTTGGTTAGATTCTGTTGGTTTATAGTTTGTTGAGTTCATCTATATCTTTGGTGATTTTCTGTCTAGTTTTCTATCAGTTGTTGAAGAAGTAATGCACAAGTTTACAAATGTAGGTGGGGATTTGTCCATTTCTCCTCTCAGTTCTATCACATTTTGCTTCACCTGTTTTTCAGCTCTCTCGTTTGGTGCATACACATTTAAGACTTCTGTCTTCCTAGTGGAGTCATTCATTTTATCATTATGTAATATTCTTCTCTGTCATTGGCAACTTTTTTTTTTCTGAAGTCTACTTTATTTGATATTAATATATCTACTCCTAATTTTTTTGATTGATGCTCGCATCAATAAACATTTTTCCATCCTTTTAATTTGAACTTATCTACATTGTTGTATTTGAAGGGAGTTTCTTATAAATGGCATGTATTTGAATTGTTTTTTAGTATAGTCTGCTGATCTCCTCTTTTGAATTACTATGTTTAGACCGTTTACATTTAATGTAATTTTTCATATTTTAAGGCTTAACTCCTGCATTTTTTGCTTTCAATATATCCTATTTTCTTTCCTTTCTCTTTTTCATGCCTTTCAGTGGCTTTGTTGAACATTTTTTAGAACTAAATTTTGCTTGTATGCAGTATCTTTGAGTGCATTTCTTTGTATAGTTTTTAAAATGGTTACTCTTAAGTATTACATTATATATATGTAACTTATCACCATATACTGGTGGCAACACTTTACCACTTCCCTCCTTTACCACTTTCCCTCCTTTGTCAATTTACCCTTCCCCATTTGTAATATATTTATATGAAATCATCCCCTTATAGATTGAGAACTGCATTAGACATTGTTACAATGTTTTGCTTTAATGATCAAACGTTATTCAGAAAATGTATTTACTCATATTTGTATTTTTATTTTTTTATTCTTCGTCGATTTCCTACATTCCTCATTTATCATTTTCCTTCTGTTTTCAAAACTTCTGTTAACAACAAATTCTCTTAATTTTTCTTCATATGAGAATGATTTTCCCTTCACTCAGAAGAATATTTTCACTGGATACAGAATTCTGGACTGACAATTCTTTTGTCTGTGCTAGAAACATGTTGTATCACTTTCCCCTCATCTCCATGGTTTCTGACATGACATTTGCTGTCATTCTAATTGTTTTTTCCTAAATATAATGCATCATTTCTCTTTGGCTGCTTTCAATTTTTTTTTTTTATTTTTTACTTTCTATTGTTTGATGGTATTGTGTTTTTTCCCTATACTCATGTCTTTGAAGATTCATTTATTTATTTGAAATCTATTTTCTCTCTATTGTTCAGTTTGGGTATTTCTCTTGTTCTGTTCTCAAGTTCACTGATTCTTTCCCCTCTCCTCTTCATTTTGCTGTTGAAGTATTCCTTGTTCTTTGTATAATATATACATTTAAAATTGATAGACATTTTGGTGATTATATTAGGAGACTCTGGATCTTATTTAAACTTTCTGTTTTAACTAGCTTTCTTTGACATTGCTCTGGCAGGGGAAGGAGAAGTTCCAGTGGGTACGTTTTTACTGGCAAGTGGGTAAATGCCCAGGTTTACTGCTTGACCTCCATTGACACCTGAGGGGGTAGCTCCTCTTTACTGTGGGGTATTAGTGAGAGTGCCAGCTCCCACAAGGCCTACACTCGTGTGCCACTGCCTGTGAAGGAGTGGGGCATCTTGTCACTGCTCATGTGGCATCCACTAAAGCCGTATGTGGTGGCCTTCAATGCCACTGAGCAATGGTGAAAGTTCTGATTCTCATCCAGGCTGCTTCTGCCACCACCCCAGCAGGGAGGCGGAGGGTTGCCTTATCAACACTAGCTGAGTGAAGATGGAAGTCTAGGCTCCCTGTGTGGTCTCCAGTGACACTGATGGGAGGGGAGGGCTGGCTTCCTGTAGGCCCTCTCTGACAGCACTCTGGTAGGGGAGGAAGGGTTGAGATGCAAGTGTGGAAACCTGTGCTCTGCATTCTATATTTGCTGGTGGGGGTATGGATGGGGCCTCTACTTTTTTTCTGTAATGTGTGGTGAGAGTAGAGTGTCAATTATCTAAAAGTGTTTGGTTTGTCAGGGTTGCCCCTTTCCTAGTCTTGTGGCTAGAGGGAAAACTTTTCTTAGACTCTTGTTGTCGTTCTGTGTCCAGTGGTGTTTCCAGGTTGGCAGCTTTTCCACTTTCCAGTCCAAGGTATCTGAAGTAAAAATAAAACTCATCACCATGTCATTTTCCAAATTTTAAGCTGTACTTATCAGGAGAAATCTAGAAATGTACCCCTACTCCATTATTACAGTCATCAGTTGGTTGAGATTGATTGATTAAAGATGCCAAGGTAATGCAATAGGGAAATTACTGACTTTTCTGGTGCTGAAACATAATATCAAAATGAACATAAAAATCAGAATGAACCTTGGCCTTTACTATGCTATATACAAAATTAATTCAAAATGAATCTTAGACCTAAATGTAAGAATTCCAATTATAAAATTTCTTAAAAGAAAAACTAAGATATCTTTTTTCTATAAATAGAGAGATGGGGTTCCACTGTGTTGCCCAGGCTGGTCTTGAACTCCTGGGTTCAAGTGATTCTTCCACCCTGACCTCCCAAAGTGCTGGGATTACAGGCATGAGCCACCACGCCCGTCCTAAGATAATACCTTAGTGACTATGGATTTGGCAAATATTTATTAACTACAATATAAAAGTCCAAGTTATGATTGATAGAAAAAAGTTAGTAAATGGAACTTATTCAGAATAACAGTTTTGCTCTTCAAAGATACAGTAACAAAAATGAAAAGGTAAATCAAAACATATCCAACAAAAAATTTGTGTTTAGAATCTATAAAGAACTCTTATAACTTAATTTCAAAAAGACAAGCAACCCAGTTAAAAATGAGGCCAGGTGTGGTGGCTCACGCCTGTAATCACAGCATACTGGGAGGCCAAGGTGGGCAGATCACATGAGGCCAGGAGTTCAAGACCAGCCTGGGCAACACGATGAAATTCTGTCTCTACTAGAAATATAAAAAGTACCTGGGATTACAGATGTGCATGGTGGTACCCATCTGTAATCCCAGCTACTCAGGAGGCTGAGGCATGAGAATCACTTGAACTCGGGAAGCGGAGGTTGCAGTGAGCCAAGATTGCACCACTGCACTCCAGGCTGGGCAACAGAGTGAGACTCTGTCACACATACAGAAAAAAGAGCAAAATATTTAATCAAATACTTCAGTATAAAACATATACAAATGGCCAATGAGCACATGAAAAGATTCTCAACATCATAAGCCATAAGGGAAATGCAAATAAATACCGCAAGGAGGTACCACTAGAATAGCAAAAATGAAGTTTGCCCATAGCCACGTGTGAGCAAGGATGTGAAGCAACCAGAGCTCTCCATGTATTGCCAATTGGAATTAAAAATAAAACAATCACTTTGGAAAACATTTTGGCTGCTTCTTAAAAACTTAAATATACACCAACCATAAGACCCGATAATCCAATTCCTAGGCACTTACCCAAGAGAAATGAAAGGCTCACACACAAATATTCATAGCAGCTTATCTGTAATATTCCTCAACTGGAAACAACCCAAATGTCCATCAAGAGCTGAAAAGATAAATACATTTTTATGTATTCATTCAATGGAATATTACTCAGCAAGAAAAATGATTGAACTGTTGGTGTATGCAACAACCCAATTACAATGGGTAAATCTCAAAATAACTACACTCTTTTTTTTTTTTTAAGAAAGACCGAGGCTCACGCCTGTAATCCCAGCACTTTGGGAGGCTGAGGCAGGCAGATTGCCTGAGGTCAGGAGTTCAAGACTAGCCTGGCCAACATGGTGAAACCCTGTCTCTACTAAAAATGCAAAAATTAGCCTGGTGTGGTGGTGGGTGCCTGTAATCCCAGCTACTCGGGAGGCTGAGGCTAGAACCCAGGAGGCGGAGGTTGCAGTGAGCCGAGATGGCATCATTGCACTCCAGCATAGGTGACAGAGAGAGACTCCATCTAAAAAAAAAAAAGACCAAAAAAGAAGTATGTATTATATGATCCTATTTATGTAAAATTCTTTAAAATACAAACCAATCTATAGTAACCAAAGGTGGTCAGTTTGCCTGGGAACAGGGGGAATTATGAAGGACTCTGAGGAAACTTTTGTGGATGATGGATATAGTTATTATCTTGATTGGGGTTATCATTTCATCAGCCTCATCAAATTGTGTAATTTAAATTTATGCAGTTGGAATCAGTCAATTATACCTCAATAATACTGGCTACAAAATGGCTCATGGATTTGTGCTGAGGATTAAATGAGACAACATGCAGAGCAAGTACATAAGTGTGTCATTTGGTTTTTCTTCCCTTCTTCCTCCACCTCCTTCTTCCCCCATCTCTACATTTGAAATTAAGTGACTAAGGTGCAAAGAAGAACGTTTTCCCTCCTTCTGCGTGGAGCTTGACAGAGTGTTCTGAACACCACAGATATTTCCTCAAAGCTGAGCCCAACTGTAGCAGTGAGAGCACATTCATTATGTTGGTTTACAGTCAGAGGCACAGAGTAAGGAAAACATTGCTGCTAGGACTTCTATTGAGGTTGTTTGTTTGTTTGTTTTTTGGTTTGTTTGTTTTCTTGTTTTTGAGACAGTCTTGCTTTGTCACTCAGGCTGGAGTACAGTGGTGCGATCTCGGCTCACTGTAACTCCCGCCTACCAGGTTCAAGTGATTCTCGTGCCTCAACCTCCCAAGTAGCTGGGATTACAGGGATGCACCACCATGCCCAGCTAATTTTGTGTTTTTAGTAGAGACAGGGTTGCACCATGTAGGCCAGGCTGGTCTCAAACCCCTGACCTCAGGTCATCAACCTTTCTCAGCCTCCCAAAGTGCTAGGATTACAGGCGTGAGCCACCAGCCACTGAGCCCCGCCACACTGAAGTACTTTAAAGGACATTCTAGCCCCCATTTTCTCACTGTTGATTTCTTTCTACTGACTTAACTACATTAAGCCCTTGTCTTCATTTTTCTGTTCATTCTACATCTACTCTATTGGGTTCTGTTGGGATTTGTCTTGAAATCCTTTATAATTCCTAATTTCTGGTCTATTTTTCATGTACTTGTCACAAGAGAATTTAAGCAAATTAACATAATTTAAAAATATAGTGTTAATATTTTATTCAAAGACAACAGCATTTTTGACAATAGCTGTTCATTATTCTCTTTGTCTAACTTCGTCCTTCCCTTCCTCTAGCTCCCCTTTCTTTCCTGGTGAATCATTACATAAATGTGTAGACGCACTCTGACAACTGTGGGATATCAGCGTGTGGGTGGGAGGACAGTGACTCACGGCCTATGAATAGTGAGTTCTGAAAAGTCAGATGCATGGTGCACAAGCGGGAGTTTAATCAGCATTACTGGAAAATGATTCAATCTGATTAACTGGACTTACCGGATAGAGTCAACCATCCACAAACTTTTGTTCATCGCCTGCTTGAGACGAGGCAAGCACTGTAATGTGCTCTTAGGAGATGGAACTCATAAATGCTTGTAGAATCTTAACATGTTCATGTCACCAAGGAGCACGCACATTAAAAAGCCGTTTTCATTCTGTTTTGCACCATCTGACACCTGGACATTATAGCTGAATGGGATTTATTATAGAATTCCTCAGCAGAATCCAGTAGCCCTATGGATCCTAAACTAAAACGTGTCATCCCATAGAGGCTCTGTGTTGATTTTGCAAGGAATTCCATTAATTTGACAGTGTCCTATATCACATACCCCTTGGTAAAGCCCGTGTAGGTACGTGACCTGGTTCTAATATTTATTGTTTAAATTGTTTACTTAGCCGGGCGCGGTGGCTCAAGCCTGTAATCCCAGCACTTTGGGAGGCTGAGACGGGCGGATCACGAGATCAGGGGATCGAGACCATCCTGGCTAACACAGTGAAACCCCGTCTCTACTAAAAAATACAAAAAACTAGCCGGGCGAGGTGGCGGGCACCTGTAGTCTCAGCTGCTCGGGAGGCTGAGGCAGGAGAATGGCGTGAACCCGGGAGGCGGAGCTTGCAGTGAGCTGAGATCCGGCCACTGCAATACAGTCTGGGTGACAGAGCGAAACTCTGTCTCAAAAAAAAAAAAAAAAAAAATTGTTTACTAATTAAATTGTTTGTTACTTTTTTGTAAGAATAACAGGAATATCCAAGATGAGGCTTACTTTAGACCTTAACATTTCTTTTAAAAGACGGAGAAAGGCTATTCCATCTGAGCAAATACTTGTGGAGAGCCTTGGGTTTACCTCATTGTAAACAGTCATTCACGAATTCTGTGTAGATTTCTTTTTCTTTTTTTCTTTTTTCTTTAAGATTTTTTTTTTTCTATAGAGACAGGTTCTTGCTTTCTTGCCCAAGCTGCTCTCAAATTCCTCGGCTCAAACAATCCTCCCAGCTTGTCCTCCTAAAGTGCTCTGACTGTAGGCACGAGCCACCTGACCCAGCCTCTATGTATATTTCCGAAGGTGGCCTCAGGTCACCGGTGACAGCATATAATTCAACTGGAATCCCTTCCAGATTTTATCTATCCTAATGTAATTGAAAATATTTTGGCTTAGAGCAGTGTCTTGTTACTTGCAGTAATGATCAAATCCTTTGGCATTTGCTTAAATCATTCAGTGACTGTGTGTGTCAATGTTATGCTCCACACCTGTTGTTCATCTTGATACAAAAGAGATGAGGATTAATTGGACAACTCTGGGAGAAAGATCATAAAAGCAGCCTTTAACCCTTGAAGATAGAGTGGCATCTTCATTTCTGTAGGCACCCAGCCAATATTTGGTGAGGGAATGAATTGGCAAACGTGTGGGCCACGATCACGGCTGCGATTTGCTGCCATGATCCTCCCAGTAGCCTGTCTTCATGGTGCTGTCTGGGGTTAGCCATCTTTTGGTCCCATCCCCAGGCACCAAGCAGAGACTGATCTCATTAGCTGTAGCTGCCTATTCTCAGATTCCACATTTCCTTTAAGGCCCATGAATGACAGCAGAAGTTCTAAGGCACAAAAACAGAGAAAGATCAAAGGGAAAATGAAAAGAATAAAAACTCAAAGAAGGACCATGAGGAAGGAGAAAAAGGAAAAGAACAGCAGAGGCAGGGAAAAAGAGGGTGACTGAACTGAAGAGACTGGTGGGAAGAAAGGGGAAGACAGGACAGACACTGCTTGGAGGATGAGAAGTTGGCATTTGCCCAGAGGGTGGGAGGATGTGGAAAGTGAGGGAAGAGACTCAGGAGAAACCACAGATGACCAGGGCATTGAGAGCAGCCCACTAACTCCTGAGCAGACGAGGGTCCCTGGCCAGCTCTGCATTTCAGCCCTCACAATAGAGTAGATAAATGTGTCCTCTTTGCCTTAGATGCCACTTACAGTCTGACCCAAATGAAAGGGAGAAGAGGAATGAGACTCTCTCCTCTTAGGTTCCATTTTACCAAACCTTGGCTCACAGCCCAGATCTTGGAAACAGGCCATCTCTGATCAAGCAGTGCAGCCTGCAGACGAAGAACAGATCTGAGCTTGGCTCAACTAAAAGGGCGCAAAACAAAGGCAGCAGGAGTCTGCAAAAAACAAAAACAAATCCCAGACCCCAAACTGCCCAATCCATTTCTTTTAAGTAGTTCAGAGCCCTGCCCTCTGAGGATAAATTCAGAAAGAAGCTCCATGGCTCCTATTTCAACTCAGGCATTCAGGAGATGGACTGGCCTGCCTAAAGTTTGCACAATTAGTGGTGAAAGTAGAAAAGGACATTAGGGGTCCTCAATTCTAAGCTGTGTTAAACTTTTTCTTTGATCTTTTTGCCTTCATTAAAAAAAAAAAAGCTAATACACTCTGTCACAAACTCATGATTGTTTTAAAATCACCATTACTGCTTACCCACTTCATGCAAAAGCTTGGAGCACTTTGAGAGATCATCCTAAGTGTCTGTCACCACCAGGCAAAGACCTCATGGAGCACGCAATCTAAATTATTCTGGTGCTCAGTAAAGATGATGCAGACACGGTGCTGAAAATCCCATGTGGGCTGATAGTCTCCAATGCTGCATCTTCACACTGCTTCTCCATGGAGGGGGGGAGATTCATTCGTAGAATTAGTTGCCACTGAGTGGGTAAGAGCTATCATGAGACCAAATTCTTGATTAAAGGGTGAAAAAGGGGAGAAAAAAATATGCTAAACGAATGACCAGCCTAAGAAATTTTATACCTTATGAACATGACTTGAGCCTCCAAGGCAGATTTAGATGCCCAAGTAATTGATCAACATTTGGTTTGTGACTTTATACTGGTGTTTTTGTGCCTTATATTGTGAATTTTTTATCCAATGTAAGTATCAAATACATGCTTTTCTTGCCGTTCTGTTACTCAATTCAAGTCAAGTCAGTAAATGTTTATTGACTCTTCCCTGTCCAAGACTCTGTTGTGCTGATTTTTTTTTTTTTTTTTTTTACACTGAGTTTCACTCTTGTCACCCAGGCTGGAGTGTGGTGGCACGATCTCAGCTCACTGCAGCCTCT